CTCTCCTATTCCATTCTTCTCCTGATCTCGTGCAATGGACATTCCTCCTCCCACCCCTCCAAGAAATTATCTATAAAATGTGGAAAAAATTACAAAATACAAAACTGGACATGGAGACAAACAGGATCAGTTTCCTTCACTAGTCTTAGGAAGATAGAGTTGCATTTGAACAATAGTGATTTTTGCTTCAGGCCAAAGTGTAGCAGTTATGAGATCTGATCATGGAAAACAAAGCCTACAGGTTACCAGTTAAAATCCAGCCTAGATTGCTGGTGGCCAACCTCCATGCTGAGACCTATGTGACACTGGCCGATGATCTCAGTGAGTTTCTAATACACAGATAATATCATCCCCCAAATCACCAGCATTCTTGGCCTCCATTATAACTGCTCACAAAGGTGCTAATTAGTGCCAAGGACTGAATGAGCATGAAGTCTGAACTCTACACACAGGTGGCCACTACAGTTCAAGGTTGAGAAGAAGTACTACCCCTGCTGCATCTGTTCTGCATATACGTAAAAGACTTTATTGCTCGTGAAACATGCTGAATTGACTGCCTTGCTAAAGTTTCACTTTAAAAAAAAAAAAAGCCCAGTCTGTCTTCATTTTACCAAACTAGTAACTAAACAGGATGTTTGTGAGCTGTTAATATTGTGAGGCCTAATAGTGAAATTATTGCTACAGGGACTTTCAGATGTTTTTCCCAACACCACCCATAAAATTGGATCTGGTTAAGAGGGAGCAACCAATGCAAGGCATAACTAAAACAGTATGTTTATTATTTTACTACATGATTCCAATTTGTTTCTATGGTGTCAAATGTAAAATTTTTGCCAGAAACTTCACGTTAGACCAGGGGTCGACAACCTTTCAGAAGTGGTGTGCCGAGTCTTAATTTATTCACTCTGCTTGAAGGTTTCGCGTGCCAGTAATACATTTTAACGTTTTTAGAAGGTCTCTTTCTATGTCTATAATATATAACTAAACTATTGTTGTATGTAAAGTAAATAAGATTTTAAAAATGTTTAAGAAGTTTCATTTAAAATTAAATTAAAATACAGAGTCCCCCAGACTGGTGGCCAGGCCCCGGGCAGTGTGAGTGCCACTGAAAATCAGCTCGCGTGCCATAGGTTGCCTACCCCTGCGTTAGACCTTTGCTAGAATGAAACAGAACCGCGTTCCTAACACATTTGATCCCTGCATTTACTTTACCAACAGATTCATAAGCTTTTTCCTATTGCTCTACCTCCACCAACTCAAGGCCATAATTTTAGAAGGACAGCGTGTAGCTGGAGAACTGGGATCATAACGAAAAAGACAAAAGCAAAGCCCAAATATTTATACAATTTTTCTACAAGCAAGACTCTAAGCTCCAGCTTTCAAGATATTTCTTTGAAAGCAGGCAGGCAAAATTGATCCATAATAGTGTACTCTGAGCCGCATTAAAGCAAAAACTGTCATAATGTATCTACTTAAAAACTGGGTGGGCACTGACAACCCTGAGGAAATGACATTACTTTAGAAGCATATTTCATTAATTATCAGTGGTCTCCACTCCATTTCCTCTTATCTGCCCTAAGTGAATTCTATAGCTTAGAAACATCAGCATGTGACAATCACATGCTAACATTCTAGTTAGGTGCAACTATGCAGTGCCGCATTTGTATATAATGACTAACCTACACCCTGGGAATTTACATTTGAAAGGTCCTTTTCAAAGTGTAAATCAAAGCTAATTAGATCTATTCATGTTACCAGAAGTCATTTTGTTACCCTCTTGCTCTACACAGCCCAGGAGCTGAAATCAGAGTTCATTTTTCATGCTTCAGGAGTGGACTTCTTATCTGTGTATGTTGCACAGGAATGAAGCTGAGACTTGAATAGGACTCTTTGTGTCCCAAGGCTCCTTATGGACCCTGGTGGTCTCTAGACTGCAACTCAGCTATGTGCCAAAAAGGTGGCTCCTTCTGGCAGAACCCCATTAGGAGGTGTATAAAGCTTGTTTCAGTGAGAAGCCACTCATATCATAGAGCAGGCATATGCCATGAGTTACCGTAATTCTATGAAGGCAGTGTTTGTGATATGGCTATGAGCTAGCACTAGCCATTAACAGTTCTTCTAGGAAGTGTAACACTCTTCTGGGGAATGACAAACCCAAACCTCTTCAGCAGTATCACCTGCAGTCTGGGGTGACACATAAAGCAAATGGTGCAGTCCACTCATCTGCTTCGGAAAATCTCTGTGGTTGTGGTGTCCATTTTTCTTTTAATGAGTCTTTATAGAATGCTGCAAGTGCTGCTGTGTCTGTCTCTACTTCCTTTAAGAGTTAGTTCACTGTTTGAGAAATCAGGTTTCCTATAGGTATAATTTAACTTAATTTTGGACCTACTTTCCCTCCTTTTTCTTTTCTTTGAGCTTTGTACCTGAAGGTGCAAGGAGTAGTTCAAGAGTTGATAAAAGTACGAGTGGTTTGGAAATTATTGCCGCTCAAAGTTATGGAGAAAAAGGCAGTTACTAAGATTCCTATAAGTGGCTATTTTTTTTTTTTTTTGCAGGGGGCAGCAGATAGTTTCTGCAATTACAAGGGCTAGACTAAACTAACACAGATTATCAGCAATCATACATCACCATATGAGGTGGTCACCAGCTGGGGTCAGACAGTAATATCATCCATACAACACAAAAGCATAAAATCTCCATAATGCGCTATAATCAGAAGCAACTGCTGCTGGCCACCCTCAGAGGTTGGATTCTGAAATATATGGACATGTGGTCTGGATGGCAATTCCAATGCTTCCATTTTCACTTTTCACCCTGCCAGTTCCCTGGTTTTTGGACCAGGAAGTATGTATAAATATGAAGTGACCACCATTGGCATCACTGAGGGACACAATGAATGAGAATCTGAATCTGAGGTCACAAAACACATGAGAGCATTTAGACCAAGAAATCTGAAGGAAATTAAACACATACATTTTCTTTCTCATTGTGGGAAAGCTGCAGCATTTGCAGTTACAAAGAAGTAAACTTATTAGGCCAGATCGTCAAGTGATGTAAATCTGGCATAGCTCCTTTAAACAATGGATTTACATCAAATTATACCAGCTGAGGATCTGGCCCCTGGTATCAAAATTTGCATGTAACTTTTACAAACGGAAATATTTCCCCACAAGCAAAATATCAACCTGATTTTAAAAAAAAAAAAATGAAAAGTGTAGATGAAACTTTATTGATGGGTGCAGTATCCTGGGTGCAATTTGCTGACAATGTGGGATAGTGTATTTCCATTGTGATGTTAGCCCATCGGAATATGCTATACAAGGGGCTGTTCTATTTGTGAATGTGGTGGGGGGAGGGGCCCAATAAGGATTGGGAAGAGAAAGGCAAAGAAAGAAAAGAATAACCTTGATTAAATGAATCAGCTGCACTTTGTAACAAACAAATCACAAACCTTTTCATTCAGAAGCTGTTCACTGAGGTGTATAAGTTTGCAATCTGTTAGCCTGTAGAATGTTTGGAGAAAAGTCAAACATACTGTATCAATACATATTTAGTCAAAGCAGACATTTCTTTTGTACCTTTTTATAAAAAAACTCAGCATTTTTTCAGTTAAATTACCATAGATAAAACTGTTCATGTAATTGGAAAAAGAATCAACTGCTCTTTTCCTTGTTATGCTTCTTCTGCCAGTCCTGACAACAAACGACAAGAATTCCTCTGGTAATCGCGGCAAACAATCCATAAAGAGAATGGACTGTATGGTTGGCTCACACAATACTCAGCAAGCAGATTTTTGTTCCCCCAATTTCCAGCATTTCAGAGCATCACATGCTGCACATAAATAATTGATGACCCTTTTGAAAAATTAAATATTCAGGACAGCTCAAACTCATTCTCCAGACCTATATTTGTGCCTTCCACATTATCCCTTAATGCTTCTAAACAAACTTAGCAGCGTTTTTTTTTTTAAATGCCTTTCAAGCACGGAAAGGCCTAGTTTAGAATTGTTCCATGTCTTTCCAAGTTAAGTGGTTAATTGCTCCACAATCATACACAACACACTATGTGGCTAAAACAGAAACCTGGGAAAGAAACTGAAAAAAATCAAAGTAACAATGACCAGAAGCACAAGAATAGAGCTAGGCTGCTAGACACTAGCAGAGAATCTAGCTCATAAGGTAGAATAGGAGATTGCCTTTCAAGAATTCAGCCCAGATTCCTTTGTTTGAAGAACAGTTTCCTCTCTTTTTTTTAAATATATACTTGTCATAATAGTAGACAGTCCTGTTTAGATATTTTGCAGATGTGAAGACTTCACAGTTCTAAGAGCCGGATTCTGCCCTTTAGATATTTATGTACAGCTCTGATTGGCATTCATAGGCAGAAATTGGCCGTAGGCTTTTAAAATGAGAGCTATACTAGGTAGTAATATTACTTTTAATGCACCAAATTCTATTTCCCAAGATGTTACTAACCATTATCTTGCTACTCCCAATATATACGTTTAGTTAAACATGGTAGCTATGGGAGCCTGATTAAAAAAGGTGTTCACTCCTTTTTGTAATTGCAGCTTTGCTTATATCTAAGGATAACATCTACAGTCGCTATACTGTTTAATGGACAACACTTTTCCAGTACCAACTGGAACCAATGGGCAGTCACTAGGATATAAAAAAGGTAGGAATGGAGATGGGCAAAACTTGACCATAGTGTTGGGTGACAAGTCTAACGTTGAGTGTGTCATCATGTTTCCACCCCAGAACAGGTGGTGTCCCGTGAAGCAGAAATCTTTGCTTCACACCAACAGGGTTTCATTGGATTCAATTGCTTTCTTACACCTGGAAATCTGTCTGGTTGTTTTTACATATGGACCAAAGAAAATAAAAATTAAATAAATAAAAGACTTAGCCTGTGCCTCAGGGAAGTTGCACTGCAGTTTTTAATCTTCACTGTGACCAGACTGGAGCTGGTAGGCCTCAGTTTTCATTATAATTTGTCTTTCATGGATTCTGAGGGTGCAAGTGGCTTCCTGACCCTACTGGCAGGTTCCAGGCTCGATTGTCTCTCTGGTCATCTGTTGTGTGTGTATCATTGGATGAGGGCTGAATTGTAGCTGAATCCATAGCTGCTAGACAGCGACAGGGACTGCTGGTGCTCCTCGCCCGGCTCTGAGGTGTAGCTGGGAAACGTCTGTGCACGAGACACCTTTGCTGAACTGAGACTGTGACCTGGAAGGAAGGCAGAGAATAGTGTATTATGAATCAACTTATTGAGCTTCAAAAACAACTGAGCTGAAAACGTCCTCTGGATAGGCTAATAAGATATTAGCCATAGCTCTTTCTGAACTGGCAACATCCTCTATACAAACAAGTGCATCAGCTCCATGCTGTATTTAGACCCTTTTAGCCAAAGAACACTCAGACAGAGGAGAAAAAGAACGAACCAAGGGGTTGGGCTGCATTTTCGGTTCTCTTCCTTTATTTCCTCCATGAATCAAATTCACAAACACTGATTTATTCATATTTACTCCCTTGTTTCTGGGCTTTACAGCAAGGAATGCCTCCAACGACCCCCAAACCCCATATGATTAGATTCTGTATTGTTTTGGGTACGCACATGCATAAGGATTATTTGTGGGCTTGTCTACACTACCGCGGTAGTTCGACGGCTGGCAATCGAACTTCCGGGTTCGATTTATCGCATCTGGTGTGGACGCGATAATTCGAACCAGGAAGTGCTCGCCGTCGACTGCGGTACTCCACGTCAGCGAGAGGAGTACCGCGGAGTCGACGGGGGAGCCTGCCTGCCGTGTGTGGACCGCGTCTGAACCGCGGTAAATTCGAACTAAGGTATGTCGACTTCAGCTACGTTATTCACGTAGCTGAAGTTGCGTACCTTAGATCGAATTGGGGTGTTAGTGTAGACCAGGCCTAAGTGAGTAATTTCAGGAGCAGGCTGTTACGGGAGAGAGTGACTGTAAGTGGGAGTCATCCTTGCTTTCCCCACATGAAATGATTTTTTATTTTATTCACTAACAAAATATATGTCATTTTTCACAGCAACAATTAGCACTGTCAAGCTCTAAAGTGCTTTTCTAGGAAAAAGGCTATGTAAATCTCACTAGTTCCTTTGGAAGCTGTGGAGAGCTTTCACCAGCACAGAATTCAATTAGTTAAATCCTTCAGTGGATGTTGAATTACTAGGGTGACCAGATCAGAGAGATAAAATATCGGGACACGGGCGGGGGGCAGAGCAAAAAAAAAGGAGTTTCAAAGGGGCCGGGGGCATTAGCAGGCCCCAACCGCGCGCGCTACCCCCGCGGAACCTCCCAGCCCGGCCACATGCGGCATGCGGTGGGTCCGGGCGGGGGCAGCGTGGAGCGGGCAGGGGCCAGGTGGGCAGCGCGGGCCAAATCCCCGCTGCTGCCGGGGAGCCCCGCGCCTCTCCCTCCCGCTCGTGGCTGCTGCTCCTTCCTGGCGGGACGCGCCTCCTGCCGCCCCGGGCACATGCGGCGCGCGTCCCCCGCGCCTAGTCTCCCTCCCCCCGGGAAGGAGCCGCTGGAGTGCAGCCGAGCGGGAGAGGCGCGGGGCTCCCCGCCGGCGGCAGGACGCGCGCCGCATGTGCCTGGGGCGGGCCGAGGGGCGCGTCCCGCCGGGACGGAGCTGCAGCCGCGAGCGAGAGGGAGAGGCGCGGGGCTCCCCGGCAGCAGCGGGGATTCGGCCCCCGCGCCGCCCACCCGGACCCCGCCCGGACCCATGGCGCTGCCCTGCGGGCTGCAGGGCTGGAGCAGCCTCTGTGCTGTGCTCCCGGCCCCCCATGTGCAGCGGCCCGGGGGCCGGGCAGGAGCCCTCTGGCACGGCGGGGGGCTCAGAGCTGAGCCCCCCCATCTCCCTCCCTCCCTTGCCAGCCCCCCTTTGCCCAGCTGGTGCCCGGGTGCCAGAGCTGACTCACCAGCTGCAGGATCCAGCCGCCGCCACCACCCCCTCCCTCCCGGCTTGTGCCGCCATGCACCTGCAAGCCTGGGAGGGAGGAGGAATGCCGCGTGGTTGGGGAAGAGGTGGTGCCTGGGCGGGGATTTGGGGAGGGAGCCAATGGGGGGAGGAGGGGGCGGAGCCAGGGCGGCGGGGGGGGGGGGGAAATTTCTTTGTCCGCGTCCCGACCAATTTCAAACATTGGTCGGGACACGGACAAAGAAGCAAATATCGGGGCAGTCCCGATAAAATCGGGACGTCTGGTCACCCTATGAATTACACGCTATCACTAGGTATCACCCACACCTACATTTCCTGTTCATTCCCTCTTATGCACTATGCTCTTCCCTAACCTTTCTTTCTCCCTGTTCCCTTTACTTCTTTCTCTCACTCCCAAACTGTTCCTTCTTTCATGCTGCCCCTTGTGCTTGGAACAGTCTCCCTCCCACTTCTTGTCCACCTTCCTTCTTATTTAAAATCCCTCCTCAGCACCCATCTCTTGCATAAATTCTTCCTCACCATAGATTATGTCCTCCCCCTTATTTAAATTGCTGTTTAGATGAGTTGTGTCTTGTTTGTGTTAGACTGTAAACTTTTCAGAGCAAGAGTCGGGTTTTATTTTGTGGAATATCATGTATATTTATGGTGCTTTATAAATACTCAGTGATAATTAACTGAGTTAATAATTCAGAACTAATGGCAACCCTTTCTCACATGAGTAAGCCCATTGTTTTCAATGGGATTACTCCCATAAGTCAGACTCCATGCAAAGGTGGCCATAAGCATAGATTGTTTGCATGATAAAGTTGCATGTAGAGGACATGAAGGTTGGGTAAAAACCAGCATTGTGCATTTGCACTTCAGAATTAATCTGAGATGGAACATGGTCCATGTGTTAGAACTGTTGTCTGATTTTAGGAAGTTAATATTATTATTTTGGATAATATGGATTATAGGCTTGCCAATTAATCTGATCAGAAGATAATAAGGTTCTTGTCCCAGTGGGACAAGTGGGTCACCCCTCTTATGGAGCTTGAGCATTTGAGCCCTCCTTTTATGTCCAAAATTAGTTTCTTTACCCACAAAATATTAGGTCACACTTACTCCATAGCCTGCTATCTTTGTACGTATGGATGACATATACATACATATTAATGACATTAGCTCATTCTCACATCTGTTATTTCTGTCCTAATCAGTTATTTCGGTTCTTTCCAAGTTGTGGTGTACCTGTTAAGTTTAAAGAGGATATGAAGTTAGGTAGCCCCCTACCATCCTGCTTCAATGCATCCTTTATCTATCTATGTTAAAGGTTGCAACCATATATGGACTTTATGCTTTAGCTCATCACCACCTATCTAGGTGGAAAGTCCCAAACATATGTACACGAACTTTGCCTTAGCTCAAGATACAGGGTGTGGCCTGCCTGTACCCTGCATTACAGCCAAAAATACTCTAATATAAACCTATAAACCTATTATAATAAAACAAATAATAAAGCCCATAAGAAAATAAGAAACCCATAAGAAAAGATATATAGGCAAGAAAGCAGGCAAGCCCTACAGTCTACAAAACTCTGGACTGGGCATCAGACTATCTACATTCTCAGCTATGCTATTGATATTCAGTGTGACCTTGCCCTAATTACTCTGAGTTATGGGAAAGTTAAATGATGTGTCAAAAGCCACCCAGCAAACCTGTGACAAAACTGGGAATAGAGCTCAGATTACCCAGTTCCCTATCCTATAGATTTATCTACCTCAGATGGAAGGTTTGAGATGTAATTAATTATCTACAATTGATAAAACTCTTTTAGCTCCTTAGATCAAAGGATAATTAGTGCAAATTATTATCCATCTTTTTCACCTTTGGAATCCACATTCAAGACTAGAACTGAAGTGAGGTTGGAAAGTGCTTATTAAAATATATTTAGTAAATTAACTATATATGAGAAGGTAAAAGAATAATCCTCTTAGACAAAGCCAAAATTAAATATTTGAATGGAATGAAAGGAAACTATTAAGTGAATAGTGTGATGGTCTCCCACTGAAGAATCTCAAGATAACTAGCAGTTTTCTGGAATGATTTAAGCCTGAACTAGTAGAGCTGGAATAGCAAATATGCAGCTGATCAGGAATGAGACCCATTTGCAAAACTTTGCCATAATGGCTGTCCTTGGAAAAGTCTGGCTATGGCCACTGCTATAAGTCTATTGCTTCATACAAAATTACAGGTCACCAAAAGGCAAGGAAATGAGCAACAATATCGAGAGAGAGGAAACAAACAAAACGACCAATCAACCCAGCAACACTAGAGACAATAAAACCACAGACTGCTTTCCCAGTGGCAACTTAATGATCACAAAATCCCTTTTATAGCATGCACAGCAGACTGCATTCTGTCTGTATAGCTTTCCTCACTGGGTTAAATTAACATTAGCTATCAAAATCCTGACTGAGATGCCAAGCCTAAATGTCTTTCTGCTTCAAGGAGCCTTTGCATGAAACTGCATTAAAATGTAAACTGGCAGTGGGGTCTGAACAGCAAAGTAAAACTATTGAAAAAGCACAAGCGGACTTAGATAGTAAAGAGTCAATTCTGAAAAGCTTTACTCATACAAGAGATTCAATTGGGACCTTGCAGAGCTTTATATTTATCTGGGGTTTGCATCATAATGATCTGTTCTTTTTTAACTTAACTCAAACCTATCTCTGGACCAGTCACATGCTCTTATGTTTTTTCAAAGCTGCCAGTATCTTTTCTGAAGATGTAAAGGCTTGTTCTGTACTTACATGAAAGCTGGAATAATACAGTTTTTAATGATTCCTACTGGACTCTTAATGTAGAAATTTTATTGGGTCTGCAAAACTTCACCAGGAAAGTATTATGTTTGTGAGCAACACAGGCAGAGGAACAAAGCTAATTATATATATATTCAACATGTCACTGGTCTTTTCTAGTCTTTGAAATGCATTTTGCTATGTACAATGGTAGGCTCTCATTAGAAAAAGACTAGATGGTACACAAAGAAATTAATCAAAACAGGAAAGATTATTTTAGCAATATTCTATGCATATTTTGAAACGTATGACACCAGTGAGCATGTACCTAAAACCAGTCCTAGCCCCCTGTTTGGTTCTTTGCATTCCCTTTAATGGTCGTATTGTACCTTTGTTCATGTGTTTTGGTATCTGGCCTTCCTTTGTATAAACCAGGGGTAGGCAACCTATGGCACGGGTGCCGAAGGCGGCACGTGA